ACAGAGCAGGAGAAAGCTGGGTCTCCCGACATCAGGCCACTTGTCCTAAGGAGACATTCCACATGGTTACCTGTCAATCAAGAAACGAGAGACAATCCATAACACGGAACTGCTATGATTAGCTTCTTATTGGAGTCTCTTCTTCCTCCAGGTATCCCCAGACACCTGCATGTTCTGATTGGGACCTCAGTGGTCATGATCCTCTTCACCATCTTCTTCTTTCTCCTGCATCGCTGGTGCTCCAACAAAAAGAGTAAGTCTCACGAAGCAGAGGCCACAGACCTCAGGGACGTGTGGGGAAGCGGGATGGGAGCACGCAGGTGTGTGTTCCTCACCGGCAGGATGGTCTCTGGCCCAAGGCAGGAGCCACAGAGGCAGAGCTTTCTAGAGAGAGCACCAGACACCCTGTCTCTGCCTTCAGCTCACAGACCATTGCCTGATTCTCAACTGTATCCTCATGTCCCTGCAGCCACTGACATCCAGGAGAAGGTTCCATGACAGGCAGAAAGTGGGAGGCAGAATCAATGGGATGGAAATTGAGAGCCGTTCATGAGAAAGGGTCTTGCACTCAGAGAGACAGAATGTCTGAGCCTGGCTGTTGGCAACTGAGGGACCTCAGGCGTCTACGGCCTCCCCTGTGTGTTGGACTCTGCACATGAAATGAGGACCCAGACGTGCCCTCCCAGTTCTTTTGATGACTTTTGTCTCCTCCAGATGCTGCTGTAATGGACCAAGAGCCTGCAGGGGAGAGAACAGTGAACAGGGAGGTATGTCCTCCTCGGCCCAGCCTCGTGGATCGAATCTTATTCCCTAATAGTCCTGAAGAATGTGAGCCCCTCCCTCACTCAACATTTCCCTCTCTCCAGGACTCTGATGAACAAGACCCTCAGGAGGTGACATACGCACAGTTGGATCACTGCGTTCTCACACAGGGAAAAATCACTCACCCTTCTCAGAGGCCCAAGACACCCCCAACAGATACCAGCGTGTACACGGAACTTCCAAATGCGGAGCCCAGATCGAAAGTTGTCTTCTATCCATGAGCACCACCGTCAGACTTTGAAGGGGTCTTCTAGGGAGACAATAGCCCTCTCTCAAAACCGGCTTCACAGCTCCAATGTGCCAGCAGCAGGAATCTGAAGGCGCGACTCTGCATCTTAGGACATCGCTCTTCCTCACACCACGAATCTGAACGTGCCTCTCTCTTGCTTACAAATGTCTAAGGTCCCCATTGCCTGCTGCAGAGAAAACACACTCCTTTGCTTAGCCCACCATTCTCCACTTCACTTGACCCCTGCCCACCTCTCCAACCTACCTGGCTTACTTCCTAGTCCTACTGGAGGCTGCAGTCACACTGAGGAACTCACAATTCCAAACATACAAGAGGCTCCTTCTTAACACGGCACTTAGACATGTGCTGTTCCACCTTCCCTCATGCTGTTCCACCTCTCCTCAGACTCTCTTTCAGCTTTCTGTCAGCAGTGAAACTTATAAATTTTTTTATCATTTAAATGTAGCTCTCTCCTCTTCAAATAAACACATCTGCCCTCATCCTTTAGGTAATGTGACTCCTTATTCGCCGAAAGTTTCTGGTGTTATCATTACTATGTCCATATAGCCCCATGTGTTCTCCACTGGGTTCTCACCCCTGGACTCTGAGCTTCTGGAAGCAGGTGGAGCCTGATTTCTGTCTGGAATTCCAATTTCCATCCAACGATGCAGCGCATAGGAGGTTGCAAGGATCATGAATCAGATGAACAGGTGATATTCTTACTCTCTGCAGACCTGGAAAGCTGGCAGAGCCATTCCAACATGAAACATCTGTAGAGTCATAGGCCTTGCTAGTCTCATCTCCACGGGGACACATGTCCACACATCATCTTCATACTATAAATACACAGTCGCTCCTCCAGACCTGTGGGGTTTACAGGTGTTTATTGAGCCAACTATAAACCAAAAATATTCAGAGAAAAAATCCACAAAATTTCAAAAAGCAAAACTATGTTGAATGGACACAAACGAAATGGTATGTAGGCTGTGTCAGGAATTATAAGTAATCTAGAGATGATTTCATGTATACAGGAGGATGAACATGGGTTATATGCAAACGCTGTACCATTTTATGTAAGAGGCTTGAGCACCTGCAGATTGTGGTATCTGAGCGGAGATCCTGAAACCAATCAC